TCTCCTGAAGCTGTAGTCTTTGATCTTCATCTGTAAGTGCTTCAAGTCTTCTTCCCTTTCAGCAAGCAAGATTGTGTGGTCTGTATATCTCAGATTGTTAATGAGGTTTCCTTCAATGTTTATGTTGTGTACCTTATCATCTAACCCAACAAGCAGATTATTATTTGCTCAGCATACAGATTGAATAAATTTGATGAAAGGATACAACTCTGACGGGCACCTTTCTTGATTTTAGGCCGTGCAGTATCCCTTTGTTCTGTTCGAACCTGTTGATCTGTGCAAAGATTCCTCATGAGTACAATTAAAAGTTCTAGAATTCTCATTCTTCATAATGTTATCCATAGTTTATTATGAACCATACAATCTAATGCTTTTGCACAGTCAGCAAAACACAAGTTAACATACTTCGGGTATTCTCTGCTTTCAGCGAAGATCCATCTGATATTATCAAAGCTATCCCTCCTTTCATGTTCCCTTCTGAATCCGGCTTGAACTTCTGGCAGCTCTCGGTGATTGTACTGCTACAACTATTTTTAAATTACCTTCAGCAAGACTTTACTTGATTGTGATATTAATGATGTTGTTTGATAATTTCCACATTCTGTTGAATCACCTTTCTTTGGAATGGGCACAAATATGGATGTGTTCCACCAGTTGACCATGTAACTGTCTTCCAAATTTCTTGGCATAGACAAGTGAACACCTCCAGCACTTCATGAGTTTGTTGAAACATTTCCATTGGTTTTCCATCAATTCCTGGAGCTTTGTATTCATCAGTGACTCCAGTGCAGCTTGCACTTCTCCCTTTAATACTATCGGTTCTTGCTCATATGGTTCCTCTTAAAATGGTCACCAAGCAGTTCTTTTTAGTACAGTGGTCTGTGAATTCCTTCCCTCTTCTTTTGATGCTTCCTATTGATGTTGTTAAGCACCATCAAGTTGATTTTTACTCATAGGGACTCTGTTTAGGGTTTCCAAGATTGTAAATTTCTGCAGGAGCAGAAAGCCTCATCTTTCTCCCATAGATTAGGTAGTGGGTTCAAATCAACAATCTTGTGGTTTGTAGTACAGTGCTTATTCTCCAGTCAACACACTCCTTGATGCTTCCTATATCATTAAATATTTTACTCATGTTGTTTTTAAGTGCCTTCGAGTCAGTTCTGACTCATAGCAACCCTGCATAGGGTTTCTGAGAAACAGCTGACGGACCTTGTGGTTCAAAATCCATTGCTGATCCTACAGCTCCGCACCATAGAATCCTTAAATATTGCAACTCAAGGCTTGAATTTTGTACTTTAGTTCTTTCAACTTGAGAAATATTGAGTGTGTTCTTCCCTTTTGGTTTTCTATCTCCATGTCTTTGTATATTTTATTATAATACCTGACTTTGCCTTTTGAAGTTGTTCTTTTAACTTTTCTATTTAGCTCTTTTACTTAGTTTCTTCTAGCTGCTTTAGCTAGTCTACCTTCAAAAGCAATTTTCAGAGTCTCTTCTAACATTCATTTCAATATTTTCTTTCTGTTTTGTCTTTTTAATGACTTTTTGCTTTCTTCATGTGTGGTGTTCTTGATGTCATCCCATAACACATCTGGTCTTCAGTCACTAGTATTCAATGCATCAAATCTGTTCTAAATTCTAAATTCAAATCTGTTCTAAATTCAGGTGGAATATACTCAAGGTCATGTTTTGGCTCTCATATACTTGTTTTAATTTTCTTTAGCTTCAGAGTGAACTTGCATATGAGCAATTGATGGTCTGTTACACAGTTGGCCTGATAATATGGAACTTCTCCACCATCTCTTACAGATACAGAGAATTTGATTCCTGCATATTCCATCTAGTGAGGTCCATGTGTACAGTTGCCATTAATGTTATCAAAAAAATGCATTTGCAATGAAGAGGTCATTGGTCTTTCAAATTTCCAGCACACAATTTTCAGCTTCATTTCTATCACCAAGTCCATATTTCCAACCACCAGCCCTTCCTCTTTGTTTCCAACATTCTCAGTCCAATCATTAATAAATATCAATGCATCTTGATTGCATGTTTGATCAATTTCAGACTGAAGAAGTTGATAGAATTTTTCTGTTTTTTCATCAATGGCTCTAGTGATCATTGCATAACTTTGAATAACATTAACTGCCCTTCCTTGTTGTTGTTAAGTGCCACTGAGTTGGTTCCAACTCTTAGTGGCCCTGTATACAGTTTCTGAGGAGGGACTGGTGAATTTGAAATGCCAACCTTGTGGTTCGAAATTATATTTAAGTCCAGTGCATTATCCTACAGTGCTACACCAAGACTCCACTTTCCTTATAGGGGTACAGATATTATCTAGCATTGCTAGATTTTAAAATGTTCTTTTTGAATGATGAATGCAATGCTATTCCTCTTGAATTTGTCATTCTTGGTGTAGTAAACCATATGATTGTCTGGTTCAAAATAGACAACACCAATCCATTGCAGCTCATTGTTGCTGTTGTTGTTGTTGCTAAATGCTGTCGTATTAGTTCCAACCCATAGCAACCCTGTTAGGGTTTCCAACCCATAGCAACCCTGTTAGGGTTTCCAACTTTCACTGCTTCGAAATTCTATCAGGGTCGCTATGAGTTGGAACTGATGCTACTTTATGATTAAATTTTTGCCAACCCAGAGTAAAAACTGCCCCATAAGAATTGTCAGCAATTATATTATTAAATTTGTTTATATTGTTATATAATAGACCTGGTGTGGCACTGTGAGTTAATCAGTGAACTGAAAAGTAGGTCTGAATTGCAAGTTTGGGGTTTCAAGCTCACCAGTTGCTCCTAGGGAACCCTATACAGGTTCGCTATGGGTCAGAACTGACTCAACGGCACTTAACAACAACTGCAAGTTAGGCAGTTCAAACCCACCAGCATCTCTTCAGAAAACTTAGACAGGGTCACTATGGGTCAGAACCGACTTGATGGGACTTAGCAATAATAGCCATCCTTGAACCCCCTGACATTTTTAAGATTAATTGGGTGGGTTGCACATTGGGGTGCTAAACACAAGGTCAGCAGTTTGAATCTACCAGCCACTCCATGTGAGAAAGATGAGGCTTTCTACTTCCGTAAAGATTTACAGGCTCGGAAACCCTATACAGGTTGCTAGGGGACAGAACCCACTCCAAAGTATACAACCACCCACTCTCTTCTGAGGTAGGCAGATTGCTAGCTGTCCTCTCTAATGGGACAAGTTGCACATAAAACACCAGAGGGCAGTAACTCCCCACAGATCTGGGTGCCTGTGCCAGCAACAAAGCTAGCCCAAGGGTGAGTCAGTCCTAGTCTTTCTGATCTCTTTTTTCCTTTCTTCTCAGGTCGCACACCCATCAGAATGGTGCAGGGCAAAGATCCAGTGCTGTGGCAACAAGGAGACCAGGACTTGAATCACAACCCTACCACTTACTGCCTATAACCTTGAACAGTGACCTTACCTTCCTAAGCCATGGTTTCTTCATCTGAAAAAAATAAGGATGAAAATAGTACCTGCTTAATAGGTTTGCAGAGATGATTAAATAAATGTGGTCAATAGCAAAACATTGCATAAACATTAGCTGTTCCGTGGCGTCATCTTAGTTATCTAATTTTACTCTCACCAGAGTCTTAATAGGCAGAGTAGAGAAGCATGATGACCCTTTTTCAGATGAAGAAACTAAAGCTAAACATAGTCACACAACCTGCAGAACCATGAAGGGTGGTTCCTTTTTCTAAGTTTCTCTCTCAGTCATTTTACAGGGATAGCAGCTGGTCTTGAAAGGTTGCCTTATACAATATGTAATAAAAGGGTCGTCAGTAAAGTTCTGAAGGCAGGGGAAGACACTGGGAGGGGAGCAATGCACATCCCTGCTCTAACAATGATCAATGAGTGAATGCATGGATAAACAGGCAGGCGACTAAGTGTGGGAGGGAAAATTGGACCATACTTAATCATTTATACAGATTTGACAGAGGATATTTCTACATGTTTTGTACACTGCAAATATATTCATGAATGTGATGAAACATGCAGGAGGCAAAGTAATGGAAACTTCTTAGACATACCAAACACCTTGAGTGAATGAGTCACTGGGACTAGAGGCTCAGAAGCATAGTCTCAGGGGACACCAAGGTCAATTGGCATAACATAGTCCACAAAGAAAATGTTCTATGTTCTACTTTGGTGACTGACTGAGGTCTTGAAGGCTTATGGGTAGCTATCTAAAGTGCAACAATTGTTATCTCCCTGTTGGGAGGAAAGAAGAGTGAAGAAAATCAAAGACACATGGAAACAATGAGCCCAACTGACTAACAGAACATGCAAGCACCAGTCTCCACAGCCCTGAGACCAGAGCTAGGTGAGGCCCAGCTACCACTGCCAATGGTGCTGAAAGGGATCACATTTGAAGGTCTTGGATAGAGTGGGAGAAAATGTGGAACTCAAAATCATTTTTAAAATCAGGTTCGCTAGTTGGAAAGAGACTGGTGGAACCCCCAAGATTATGGTCCTTAGTAACCCTTCAGATTTGGGACTGAACTTACTCCCCTGTTGCTCAGTTTTCAGCTAAACAATAGATAGCTCTAGAAGAAAAACAATAGCCTTAGGAAGATACATCCTCCAAATTTGAAATCAAAATGATATCATTTACTTAAGGATAAAGTTAAGAAAGGCTAGGAAAGAAAAATAAATGGAAACAGAAAACACAGTTGGAAGTGGGGTAAGTGATTGAAGGGATTGCAGTCAATAGCATGAAATATATATGAATTGAATAGAAAACTGATCTGTTCTGTAATCTTTACCCAATTCACAATAAATTTTTAAAGGAAAAACAGAAAAGGAACCTTATAACCCTATGAGATTTGGTGTTTCTGAGGCCCAGAGAGAGCAAATGTCTCACCTAAGGCCACGCTGTGAGTCAGTGCCTGATTCAAGACGCAAAGAACCAGTCCACTGGGCTCCCAATCCTATGATCCATCCCCTGTGCCCAATTGCTTCTTACTCTGCTCTTGACAGCTTGCCATAGAATTCCTTCTGTAAGTCTTGTCTCCCTAACTAGACTGTGAGCTAAAAAGCAAAAACAAAAACAAAAGAACTTCTTAAAGAATACTTATTTATATGGAGAAATATTCATATGATACGTTGTTAAATGAAATAAGGGAGCTATAACACAGTAGGTACAGTATGACCCATATGTATTTATGTATACTGACATAGGAAGAAAAACTGAAGGGCATAGCACATAATGATGTAAATGGCTTATCTCTGGGTAGTGGAATTTCAGGTGATTTTTGTATTTTTCCTTTATGATTTTGCATATGTGGTTCTGGATTTCCTCACTGAACGTGTTTTACTTCTGTAATCAGCACACCAAATATGTATGCGTGTTTTATATTTTAATTGTCCATATAAGAAATTACTACATAAAAGACAGGCGTCTTCCACCACTAATTTGTGGTGATTTTTCAAAGCCCCTTAACTCCCCTGAGGCTCAGTTTCTCCACCTGAAATATAGGCAGGATAACCCTTAACCACTTCTCTCAGAGGCTTCCAAATTTCTCTGGTCAGATGCCTTGAGTCGTCTCCTCAACCAAGCTTCTAGGCAGTAATGAACACACGCCTCTGTCTTCATTTCCTCCTGTTCCATTCATCCCTCACCTTACTTCTCCAAACTAGATTCAGAGGTTGCTGGAGGCATCCTCACTGACAAACTGAATAGCTTCCACTCTCTTTCTAGCTCTCTCTCTAAGTCCCTCTCTTTTTCTTCAGCATGAGGCTCTCTTGATGGCTCCCTTCTTCCTGAAGTATTTTTCCCTTGCCCTCTCTGACCTCATCTCCATTTCCTCAGTTCCTTTAACAGCTGCTTCTTCCAGAGGTTTCTCTTCTTTCTCAGTCCTTCTCAGAAGGGACTGCCTGAGGTTCTGAGGACCTTTTTTGATCTCTCTTGAATGATACCTGCAGCCTCCACCTCCTTATCAGTGGCTCCCACTCTCATGTCCAGCCCAGCTCTTTCCCCGGAGTTCCAGACCTGATAGCGAATCCAGAAGGGGCCCATAACACGTAGCACATCAGAAATTGAGTCCCATTTCTGTTTACCTCCCAGCCCATTTCACTAATTCTCTTTCTTTAATTGCCCAGTTGATGGATAGTCACCAAGGGCTCAGGCTAGCCTCTGCCCTCTTCTCCCCTGCCATGTGGAGCTGTCCTTCAGTCGTGGCCAACTCATCTCTGAAGCATTTTTCGAACTTATCCCTTCTCTCCAAACCCTAATCAAAACCCACCACCACTTCAATATTCACCTGTCACTCATACTCCACAACCACTGCACGGTGGGGTTCTACCCACCTTCCTACAGCATCTAATCCTGTGAAGGACTCTACCTGATTACCTCATCCATTCAGGGGCTATTGTGAGCCTTGGTATCTCTCACCCACATGACTTCCATGAACTCGCCACTGGTCTCCTACCTGCCTGCTCTATGTTCTTCCCCCTTCAAGTTTACCTAAAAGATCTGTTACATCATCCATATCATCATATGATCTAGCCTACATTTGCCATCTTATAGATGGAAAAACCAATGCCCAGAGTGAGGGGTCAAGATCCCCCAATTCCCTTCTGGAAGGACAAGGGCCTTGTCCTATGTCCCAGTCACAGGTCTTTCTCCCATCATGACTGCCTTTCAGTGTGGCCTGCTCAGCTATTATGAATACTTCACTTGTAATTTCATTTACTTCTCACAACATCTATATATCCCAAGTTTTTTCCAAGTTGAGAATAGTGATTTTTGAGCGTTTCAGTAACCCACTCATGGTTATGTAATTAACTTGAATGTTACTAAAGTGCTGCTGTTAGGGTTGAATACAAATAGTCCGATCTGATGGGAGAGCACATCTCCTAAACCGCTCTGTTATGTTGCTTCTTTTGCCAAATCACAGTCCTTACATATGAACTTTGAGGACCTTCCTGCAAAACTCAAGCACATCTTTCATTTTTATCACCCATTGCACCCAACTGGTACCTTCTAGTCCTGGTGTGGCGCTGTAGGATTAGTACTGGACTGCTATCCACAAGGTTAACAGTTCAAACTCACCAGCTGCTACTTGGAAACCCTATACAGGGTCACTATGAGTCGAAACCAACTTAACAGCAAGCCCTCCATTCTCATTTGTCCATTGCCACACCTTACTCATGCTCTTCTTGTCCTCTCAACTTCATAAGTGTACTTCCCATCATTCAACTGCCTTTTCCTCCATGCTGAGCAGGTCACACTGAAAGGCAGTCATGATGGGAGAAAGACCTGTGACTGGGACATAGGACAAGGCCCTTGTCCTTCCAGAAGGGAGCTGGGGGATCTTGACCCCTCACTCTGGGCATTGGTTTTTCCATCTATAAGATGGAGAATGTAGGCTAGATCATTTTTAGGAATCCATCTTGTTCTAACATTCTAAGACACTGTGTTTTCGGGATCCCCAAAAATGGTGATGAAATTGCCCTTTTTTTCAACCCCTTTAACATGCACAGAATGGAGAGAATGTCAGGGCTGGGAAGAACTTCAGAGAAAAAGTAAATCCCTCCTTCACATTTCCCCAGGGCTTCTGAGGCACAGGGTGGGGCAGCAGCCTGGCTAACCATCTGGAAGGTGGTGGGAGGAAACCCTGCTCTCTGTTTAATGGAAGACTCAGGGAACTCCATCTCAGCAGGTCCCCCCAGCCTTGCAGAGAAAGGGTGTGGGAGGGCCTTGAAAGGGCAAAAGCTGCAGCGCCTGACTCTGGGTCAGGTTTGGCAGGCCAGCGCCAGGAGGTCTCAGTAGTTTTCCATGATCAGCAGCCAGCAGGCCAGCACATGTGCTCCTCTATCCCTTTGCCCCCACATTCCTCTGCACACTGAGGCAGCAAAGTGGCATCCAGGGCCTGTGGAATGGAAGGGGGAAGAAAGGAGAAAGAGATACGGGTGCAGCCACAAGCACACAGACCCAGGGAGATAACACAGATCCAGACACAGACATGCACAGATATGCCAACCCATTCTCAGAAATACTCCAAATCAGACCATCAACACAGAGCCATTCATTCTGTGCACATATCCCGAGGCTCAGGTACACTCTGCAGAAGTCGCCCCATGCCTCTGCCATCTCCTTCTTACCCTCAACCCCACCTCCATATTCCCTGTCTGAATCAAACATCAATTAAGGGAAGGAAAACAAACCCTAGACTGCCCCTGTCTTGAGAGACTTGAGAGAGGGTAGACAAAACACAGGAACAAGTCAGCCTCTGAGAAGGTACCACACTTTAATTCCAACAAATCCACTGGACAATCGCCATAGTGTTTCCAGAAGCCAAGGTGAGATTGGATTTTGGAGTCCCACTCACCATTTCTTTAGCCTCTTGGGTTCCAGTTTTGTTCTAACTGCATGGACAGGGCGGAGGGTCATCAGTAGCCATATCCTTGGTTTATTTCCTCTCCAGGACCCCCTCTCCACCTCCATCGCCTCCATCCTACTTGATCCCATTAGTCCCACATCTGTCCTTCAAGAAAGAGATTAACTAAATACATCATTGGATCAATCACACTCAAGAATCCAGAAAAATGAGGCTTTGTTTAGACCAACCCTATGACTTACATTCATGCTGTAGCCTCGCACTGGGAGATGTTCTGTGACTACATGGTGGCTGGTTGGCTTACCTATATGAGCTTGTTGGAACCAAGCAAACCAGGACTCTAGTCCCAGACTCTACCCCACTTGTCTTAGGAACTTGGGCTGTTGTTGTTGCTGCTGTTAATTTCAGTAGAGTCAGTTTCAACTCATAGCAACCCTGTGTAGGGTTTTCAAGGAGAGGCTGGTAAGTTTGAATCACCAATCTGGTGGTTCAAAGCAACCTTGCAGTCCAGTGCCACACCAGGAACTTGGGCAGAGGGCTTCAATTTTTTGAGCCTCAGTGCCCTCATTTACAAAATGAAAATAAGAATGGCATCTAACGCTCAACACTGTTATAAGGATTCCATGATATATGAGTTTTTTCGTGGGGCCTAATTTAGAACCCTGGATCTGACAAGGAACAGGCTGGATAAATTTGAAGTTGTAATTCTACCTCTGCTAGTCTCAGTTTCCGTATCTGGGAAATGATGATCACCCTTGCTCTCCTGGGTATTGAAATACCTTGTATAGAGCCTCTAGAGGAGGCTCCTCTGTCCACCTCGCCCCCAGCCACACTACCCATGTCCACACTGCCTGGATCTAGCCTCCCACGACTATCAGTCGAAAGGGATTTGCCAACCCAGAACTGAGATCAGTGCACAAAGGCCTCCTTGTCCCCTGAAGACCTGAGGTCGCTGCAGGGCCACACAGTCACGTTGCTGAAAGGCTGCGGTGCCAAAGCCCCACCCCACCCCACCCCACCCCACCCTACCCCCCACACCAAAGCCCTGCCTCCTCCGCCCGACCTGGGCCCGCTTCAAGGACCAGCACCGGATTTCCCGGCCCCGTACCCAGGGCCCTGTAGGCCTGCTTGTCCATTCCCTGCCGGCCAGAGACTAAGCCCACCCTCCAACCTGGGCCCCTGCCTCTCCCCTAACAGGCATAGGCCTGATCTCCTACCTCCTTGCCACCCCTTGCATCTTGGTGGAGGACTATAAACTCCTCCCGAAAAAAAATCTTGAAGCCTGGGACACCACTCAGGATGTGCTCAGCTAAACGTCATTGTGGACTGAGGAGGTCTGAATGGGGCTGTCCCCAGGGTTGAAACTGCCTCTAGGTGCTCTTGGTCCAAGGGTGTTCTGGATCTGGGTTAGAAACCAATCCAAATGTAGCTGGTCCTGGTATTGGGATTCTCTCAAGGTTCAGGGTCTGAGTGTTCTTGTCTAGACACTGGATTCTTCTCTTCATTGAGTTTCTGGATAGAATTAGTAAGGATCCACTCAGGTTGTTATAGATTTCCATGGAAGCCTATCCAGGTATATCTGGTCCAGGTGTTGGGAGTCTTTTCTCAGAGTTCATACGAGTCTAGGTGCTATAAGTCAAGTTGTTGAGACTCTATCTGGTGTGGATGTTGGAAGCCCATCCAGTCTTTCTGGCCCAGTGTTGGTGTCTTCCCTGAGTGATCAGAGTCTGGTTTTGAGGACCTGCCCTAGTGGATTGAGTATAGGTGTTAGCGGCCACTTAGGGTTTGCACTGCTAGCTACAAGGTCAGCAATTCAAATCCAGCAGCCACTCGAGGGAGAAAGATGAGACTATCTATTGTAAAGATGTATAGCCACAGAAACCATATACAGCAGCACTATGAGGTACAGTCAACTCCATGTCAGTGGATTTGGTTTTCTGTTTCTTTTATCTTGTCTAGGGACAGGGATATACTCTCCAGCCTCGACCCTTTCATTGGCTTGAAGGCAGGCATAACTGCTAAAACCTTGCCTCTGTTCACCAAGTCCCTCATGAGTCCAACAAAGGAAGGACCCAGAGCAACCAGAACCTGGAAATTGGAAGTAGATCCTTGTCTTAGGCTAAGAATCAGTCATCACCTCACTCTGACCCAAGACACATTGCTTCCCTTCTCTAACCTCAGTTAACAAAGTGAAGAGTTAGATTGTATACGTTATAGAGTCACTATGAGTCAGAACTGACTTGAAGGCACTTAACAAGACCCCCTTTACCACCTACTCTTTAGTCTTCCCCTATGTACACAGTAGTCATTCCCAGCCTCTTCAATTTGCCCACAATCATCTCCTTACCTAGAAAAGCATCTCCTTTGCTTCTCCAGATTCTACCAGTTTCCCAAGCTCCTTATCTTCTAGAAAATCTTCCCTGCCTACTCCCCTTTTCCAGGCCCAGGATTTGACTCCTGCCTGCCCTGAGACCACAGGTAGTCTGTAGGTCCAGGTTGACTTTTCGGGTTCTATCCATCCCGCTGAGAGCTCTCTGAGGGCAGGGCCTTGTATGCTCCAAAGTCATGTTCTAGATGGGTGTAGGGTTGCCTAGAGTGCAACTCAGCCACCATCCCAAACTGGCCCGTAATCCTGTAAGAATGAGAAGAATCTATTTCGTTTCTAAGGGATCAAGAT